CACAACCATCCAATCCTACTTGAGTCCATCATTATGAGGTTTTTACATAATATAAAAAAAAAATAATGAAAAACATGAGAACCTCAACCCTTATGCAATCCCTAAGAATACAACTTTTGACAACTAATGGATGAGTCCCAATTTAGAAGCTTGGCTTCTCGTCATATCATGTTTTTTTAGATCCACTTGAGAAATATCTTTAGATTTGATGTCATAAACGACCAATAAACATCACACATCATATAAGCCAATCAATCGTAGTGAAACTTCTATTAAAAACCCAAGGAGGAAAAAGATTCTTAATAAAAATCCAAAGAAAATAAGAAAACTTGAAGGCAGAAAGGCTACACAAATCTCAAGATGACAAAGCATACCTAGGAAGATCTTGGGAAGACTGCTGCTTAAGGGATGAGAGGAAAGAAGGGCTAGGTGTTTTCTAAAAAGAGGAGGCTAGCTCGGAATTATTTGATTATGGATTCTTGAAGTATTATAACTTTTCATACTTCACAATTCATCAAGATTAATATAATCTATAAAATTTTTGTTACAACCACTAATTCAACTAAGTGTAGAACTTTAGAACTTAATTAAATGTTTTGCAAAAGATGAAAAGTTATAATCTAAATAAATTAATTTATTGCATATCAAATAAATTAGGAATCAAGGCTCCTAATTTAACCCAAACTCAAAGTTTCTCCATTTAATTAAGTTTTTGAATTGTTTTAGGATTTTATTTTTTAATTTTTTTTGTTTATTTCATAAAGTTATTTGATTTTTTTATTAGTAAAAATATATTTTATTAAAAAAATACAAGGGGTCCTCCGGCTCATAATTAAATACACTATACACAATAACCAATTACACCTACATTCCAATAACTTTGGCTCCGAACAGACCCAAAAAGAAAAGAAAAGAAAAGAAAAAACAGACCTTTATTACTAGTTATTCACCCTTTCAAATTACCCTTTCACTATTCAAAAACTGTTTTACACAACTTTTATTCCTTTTAATAGCTAAAGCACATTCAACCGGATTAGACTATCAATCGTAAAAGGAAAAAACACAACCCTACTCCCTGTGTTTAATGTAAATAAATGATTTGCCTTACATTGCATCCAGTAATTGTTGCCCAAAATTCCTCTCATTTTGAAAGACTATGCTGTTCCTCCAAAACCAAAGCTACCAAGATACAAATAAAAGAAATACAACAACCCATTTCTCTTCCTATATTCCCTCCTAACCCAAACATAAACACCTTAGCCACTCCTCTCACAGTATTTGGCACTACTCCCTCCAAACCCCACCAGTTTAACACCTTCATCCATACCCTCTATGATTCTCTACATGCACAAAATAAATGGCTACTCTCCTATACCCACTCATTGCAAAAACCAGATAGCAACTCCTCCCTTAGCAAAATCACCCCCCTTCTTTGTAAATTAACTTTAGTAAAAAGCCTATCTAAGCATAATCTCCAACCGAAAAAACTGACTTTTGAAGGAACAAGTTTGCACCATATCAACTTACACTCCTATTCATCACGAATTCCTTCACATAGACCTAAAAAGACATGAGCATTCTTAACAACATAAATTCCTTCCCCATCATGTATCCACTTCCATTTATCTTCCCTATGTTCCCTTATATGCACACTACCCAACAGTTCCAACAACCCCTTCTCTTCACTAAGCTCTCTAGACAATCTCTGCCTTTGCCACTCTAACTTCCATCTCCAGTAGCCTCCTTCTCAGCCCTCATCTCTTGAATTTTACCATCCTTATTCACAACTAGCTCAAATAATCTAGGACACACAACCCAACCCTTAAAGGTTTATTACCAACCCAATTCTTCATCTAAAACCCCACCCAACTACCATCTCCCACCTCCCACCTATCGCCAACATATCTTTAAGCTAGTTAGATCTCTTACCAATACTGAAGATATCCTACCAAATACAAGATAAACATATACCCTCCACTACAGTAATATCCAGCTCTTTCTCCCCCTCATAATATTTCTCCCACCCATAATATTTCTCTCACAACACTTGTTTCTATAGCCCCATGACCCATCACCTAATCTACACCACCACTTCCTAAACAAAGCCAAATTCCTTCTACCTAAATCATGTACCCCAAGGCCCCCCTTTTTCTTGCTATAACATGCAAAATCCATTTAACTCAAGAAATTTTCCTTCTAAGCTCAGCCCCTCCCCATAAAAAATCTCATTGTATACCAATTAATTCAGTAATCACACAATTCTGCATTAAAAACAGAGACATAAAAAATTGGAATGGCAAAAAGTATCAAATTAAGCAAAGTGATGTGGCCTCCAAAGGATAAAATGGCATTTTTCCAAGTGGCAAGATTAACATGAAATTTGCTCACAACTGGTTCCCACATCCTCTTAGTCCCCGGATTCCCCCGACTAGGCATTCCCAAATGGTTAAAGGGGGCATAAAGTTATATGATTAATGAAAACTTTAGTTTGTAAAATGGTTTGAGTTTTTATTTAGTTGATAATTTCAATTTTTAAGTGCTAAATTACATGTTCTCTTTTTATATTGTTTAGTTTTTTAAGATGAAAAAGAATAACTTTAATAGATAAATCAATAAAAAAAAGAAAAAGAAAAAAAGAGGCATTTTGGGATAGAAAGAGTAAGAATTTGAATTAATTGGAATTAGATAATCAATTATTTAAGTATTATCAACAATAAGGCATTATTTCTTATATTTTAAAATGATTCATTTAAGAAAAATTGTTAGAGATATGATATCGTGTTTTTCTTATTTTCTTGTTTTAATAAATGTGTTAAAAAATAAAAGGAAAAATTATAATTTAGTTACTTGTGGTTTAGGGTTGCTATATAGAAAGACTCGAGATTTTAAAATGTGCATATAATATACTTATGATTTGAGGTGAGTGCACATAAACACCTAAGATTTCAAGATTGGCAAATAAGGACCTAAGGTTTGTAGAAATTGTCTTAAAAACCCTTATTTTTTTTTTCTTTTCATTCTTTTAAGTTAAGGGCTTTTAAGAAATTTCAAGTGATTATTTACACCAAGCGCAGATCTTAGGTGTTTATGTGCATATTTTGGTATCTTGGGTCATTATTTGCACATACCTAAAACCAAAAGTATGTTATATGCACATTTTAAAACCTTAGGTCTTTATGTGTACTTACTTCAAACTACAAGTAGCTTAATTGCCATTTCCCCAAAATAAAACAATGAGAACATCACAAAGAAAGATAGTTTCTATCTTAAGTAATTCTCTGTACCACAAAGAAAGCTTTATCATCAAGAATAAGTTGGATATCAGAAAATATTCTTTACACAATTAATTAAAGTAATATAACTACCAAATAAAGTAAATCAAATATTTATAATAAATGTACATTAATATCTTAACAAAATTAAAAAAGTAAAAGTCAAAACATCCTAGCACTAGAAATATCAAAACATTTAATTCCAATCACATGGTATATAAAATTTAACTAGGACGTACATTATGTTCCATTTATCTTGTGGTTGTGATTGAGATCCTAATATTTTTAATGTCAGAATATTTTGTTTTTCTACACCATCTAAGAAAATACATTCAATTATTATTTTTATCAAAATTTTTAAGAATATATCTATAAAAAAAGGTAAATAAAATTAAAAATTTATAAAAAAAAATTAATTAGTGTCATAGAAAATACTTAAACACTCAAGTCGTCAACAAAAAATTTAGCCCCTCCACTTAATTTGATGGCTCTATCCCTACTACCTAAACAAAGTTTCAAAACGAGAGGCTTCAACCAGAATTTAGAAATTTAGAAGTTTAGCTAGGATAGTGCCAAGCATGCATTTTTTCCAAAAGCATAAACTAAGACAATTAGAGAGAGAATGACACATTAAGAAAAAAGTTAAATTGCGCTTATCCCTCAATGTGGCTTAGCGTGAGTGTACTTCATCCCCAAATTACAAAAAATGGCACTAAGCCCCCATATTTGAAAATATGAACATAACCCTCCCAAATCAAGAAGATATGCTCATAATCCCTTTGTGGTTTGCTAAATGTGTACTTAAACCCCTAAGTTTATTAATATTAAAGGTGAAATCTCATAAACATTTGGGGGTTAAGTGCATATTTTTCAAACCACAAAGAGGCTAGTAGCTCACTTTCATGATTTGAGGAGCTTAAGTGCACATTTTCGAACCACATGAAGGTTAAATGCACATTTTTGTAATTTGGGGGCTTAAGTGCACCCAACCGAAAACCACAAAAAGGTGTGCCCTCCTAACAAAGGTAAAACACACCCTAAGATTAATTTTAGTAATTTTCACGGTAAGTACATGTATAAGTCAGATATTTTCCTACACCTAGATTTGACTTGAAAATTGGTAAGTGCAAGATTTTGATACTAGGTACTTAGGTGTTGAAAATTTCTACTTATTACACAACTCGTTAGATGAAAGTTTACTTGCAAGTATACTTATATACTCGTTGAATATTATAGCCTTAAACATAATTAAATCTATAACAAAAGCACACACTTTATTTCGTACATGGTACATAGACATATACATGAGTTTATACTTACAACAAAGTATATAAGTTAGAATACAAAAACAGTTGTTAATTACTAATCCTAACAACTCAGGGATGTAGTGCATTATTTTATATATATATGTCAAATTTTATTTATTTGTTATTTTTTTGCCCTGGGCTATTATAGTTTTAGTTAGTGGTGAAGCTGAAGAAAAGTTTTATGGGCATAATGAAACAATGATAAAGAAATGGATTAAATTGTATGAATAAATTAAAACTTTGTAGATGAAAATAATATATATATATATCTAGATTATATTAACAAATTTTCAAGAGTTTAGAGGGGTATGGGACCCAGGACCCTGCAGCTCTGCCAATGATTATAGTCTTTAGTTAACTTATGTATATCAAATTAAGTATGCAAATCAATTATACAAATCAAGTGCTGAATCGCTTCCGCCAGAAGCTTGCCTCTTGGAAAAGCTCCTTGCTGTCCTTCGAAGGTTGGATAACTTTAATCAACTCGGTACTCTCTGCTATCCCTATATTTTATTTATCTTTATTTAAGATTCCTAAATGTGTAATTCGGGAGATGATTAAAATTCAAAGAAGTTTTTTTTGGGGGGGTGTCAATTTGGATAGGAAAATTTCATGGGTTAGTTGGGAGTACATGTGTGTGGATAAGGGGAGAGGAGGTTTAGGAGTGGCTGATTTGGAGAGGAGAAATTGTAGTTTGTTGGGAAAATGGTGGTTTAGGCTAGGTGATGGTGTTGAGGGTTTATGGAAGCGGATTCTTTGGGAGAAATATTATGGGGGTAGAAAGGAGGCTGATATTACGTCAGTTGTGAATTGGAATATGTCCGGTGTATGGAAGGATATTATGGGTCTAGGCAGAGGGTCAGAAAGATTGGACGCAATGTTAGGAAAAGGTTTTCAGTGGAAGGTTGGGAATGGGAGTTGTGTAGATTTTTGGCATGATAAATGGGTGGGGGATAAACCATTGAGGATTTTATTCCCTCGGTTATATGCTTTGGCTAATAGTAGGGAGGGATAGTTAAAGGATATGGGGTATTGGAGTGCTGAAGATTGGGTCTGGGATTGTAGGTGGAGGCGAGGTTGTGTAGGGAGGGGAGTGGGGGAGGAAGAACAGTTTAGGGAGTTGATTAATAGGGTCAGGTTGCATAAGGAAGAAGCTGATACTTGGAGATGGATCCATAGTGGTGATGGTGTTTATTCGGCTAAGAGGGCTTACGACTTTTTATCATCGAAATGTTGTATTTTGGATGAGAAATGGTCTAGGGTCATTTGGGCTAGTTATGTACCCTCCAAATTGAGCGTATTTGGGTGGAGATTTTTTTTGAACAGGTTAGCTACAAAGGATAACTTGTGTCGGAGAGGGGTGGCTCTTCCAGGGGGGAATGTTTGTTGCGGGCTTTGCCATGAAGATGTCGAGCAACTCCAGCATGTCTTTTGTCATTGTAAACCAGTTTGGCTGGTGTGGATGAAGGTTCTGGGTTGGTGGGGTGTACAGAGTGCTTTGCCAAATGATGTCTTTGGAATGGTAGATGCTGTGGTGGCTGGAATCAATGGGGGGAGTTGGACGGATTTAGGGCCTCTTATTTTTTTGGTTACTGCTTGGTATGTTTGGTTTTGGAGAAATTTGAAAGTGTTTGGGGCTGGTGAAAGGTTCGAAGAGCGAATATTGGATTCTATTCAATCTAAATCTTTTTTCTGGCTGAAAAATAAGGAACAAGGCTGTAGTTTTTCCTATACATATTGGATTTTACGACCGTTGGAGTGCAAGAAGGCCATTGTTCAACACGGCAGGAACCTAAGGAATTATAAGAGGCTGTATGCGTCTGCGGATAGAGTTCAAGTTCAAGGTGCTGCGTCTATGCTATTGTAAGACTCGCTGGAGATGGTTACGTGAAGTTTGAAGGGATTTCTATGGGCATTGTGGCAAGGGCTTTCTACCGTCCCAAGTTGTCATTTTTTTAATGGGTGTTTCTCAGGTCTTGTGATATTTGGTGTGTTGGTTACTTGTTTGAAGGGAGGGTGTTGGTTTACTTTCTCTTTTATTTTTGTATGTGGGTTGGAGTACCCCTTGTACTCCATTCAATAAATTTCATTTTGCTGATCAAAAAAAAAAAATTATACAAATCAAGTGTGTTTATAGATAATATAAAATAATGTATATCAGTTCTGATTTTTATAAAAATTTAAAGTTCTAATTTCAAAAATAATACCATGTACTTTCTAATGAATATTTAAAAAATTTATATTTTTTAAAATATATTTAACAAAGGTAAATTAATTTTCCAAACCAATAAAATAGTTATATATATATTTAATCAATTTAGAAATTGATATGCATAACCAACAATAATAGAATATCAAATTTAATAGTTGATTTTTGAAAATATTTATTAGAAGGTGTCATTTTTAAAGTGGGACACTAATATTTTTTGGGAATTAGGATTCATATGCACTATCCTTATATATATATATGAGGAGGGATCCATTTATATACAAGTTTTACATACTACACTTATACAAAATCTCAACTATTTATCTCTTCACTTTCAATAGTTAAGATTTGTTGTGACTTTTTAAATAAAAAAATAATTATCTTTAACACATGCGAATAAATTTTAACTATTGAAAGTAGAGAAATGAATTATTGAGATTTTGTGTAAGTGTGAGATGTAAAACTTGTGTGTAAGTGGATCCCTACCATATTTATGTATATAAGATTCACTTACACATAAATTTTATATATGATATTTACACAAAATCTTACACATAAATTTTATATATCATATTTACATAAAATTTCAACCATTCATCTTTCCACTTTTAATGGTTGAAATTTATTCACTTTTTATCATATTTATTAAAAATAATTATCTTTTTCATCTAAAGCGTATTAATAAATCTTAACCATTAAAAGTGAAGAGATGAATGATCAAGATTTTGTATAAATGCAATATGTAAGATTTAAGTGGATCCCTACTCTCACACACATGCACATATATATATGAGGAGAGATTCATTGACACACAAGTCTTATGTACACATTACACTTATATAAGATCTTTATCATTTATATCTTCAGTTTAAATTGTTGAGATTTATTTTAACTTTTTAGATAAAAAGATAATTATTTTTAATAAATGTAAATAAATTTCAACCATTGAAAATAGAAAAATAAATAGTTGAAATTTTTTATAAATATATTGTACAAGACTTGTATATAAATAGATCTTTCCCATATACATATATATATATATATATATTTATAGGGTGTGGACTAAAAACGTTATCTATTTACTTTCAAACTGCTACATATGTCATGGTCCTAAATTAAGCATCCTTTTCCTCTCTTTAATTTCTTTTTCCATTTTGTTTTCCTTCACATTTCTTTGTCAGAATGATTTGAAAATTTCCTTTGAATCATATTAACCATATAATTTCTCTTTGTTTTCCATTTTGTTTATTTATCAATATAATATTAGAAGAAAAGACATTGTCCCACAACAAAACGTGGAGGGAAGCATTGTAAAATTGATTAGGATGAGAAAGGTCCTCTAAAGGAAACTTACGAATATGTAATTTTCAATCTGTTATCCTATTTTGAACAAAAATACACATTTTTATTTTTGGTGAATAATTGGACACATCTTATTGAAAAATCATTTTCAATAAATATAAATTTAGAATATATATATACACATATATAAAGCCTTATGCTTTATAAATAGCCATATATATAAATAAGGATTCACTTATATATAAGTTTTACATATTATATTTATATAAAATCTCAATTATTTATCTTTTCACTTTTAATGGTTAAGATTTATTTTTATTTATTAAAAAAAATTATCTTTTTTACCTGAAAAGTCATAACAAATCTCAATAATTTTTCTATTCACTTTTAATGGTTGAGATTTATTTATATTAATTAAAGATAATTATCTTTTTTAATTTAAAAAATTATGATAAATCTAAACTATTAAAAGTGGAGAAATGAATTGTCAAAATTTTGTATAAATATAATGCCGTAAGATTTATTTATAAGTAAATTTCTATTCAAATATATATTTATAGGTAAAAATGCATATCAATCTCAACTATCAAAATAAATTAGAATTCTAACTTTAAATTATATCATTTTATTTAATAACAACTTAATTTAAAATTTAAAAATTAATTATATTAGAATATATAATTGGTTTTTAAATCTTGGTATCAACGTTTAATAAAACAAATTTATGAATTTTGAATTAGAATTTCAATTTTTAAATGTAAATTGAAATTTTAATTTTTTTTTAAATTAGAATTAATATGCAATAATCTCATATATATATATATATATATATACATACATACATACTACGAGTATAGTACTAACTTATTTTCAGGTAACAATCTACGGAAATCCGCTTTAAGCTACGGCCGCGATGCCTAACAATGTCAATTTATTAATTTGCATTTAAGCTAAATTATTGAATTCTTGATTGATTATTATCTTATTTAAATTATTCTTGATAGATCAATACATATATGCATGTCCAAAGAATTGACAGCTTGTCGGATTTAATAAATTTACGAAATCCTGGATTAGGATATCGTACAAAATTTGTGCTCTCCCCGTTGAGCTTTAGTTGGTTTAGTTTATTTTTGTCAAGTAAAATATGTATACAATAATTAGCAATTGATAGGAGTAAAATTTTATATTTATTTTTAACTAACTACAACTTAAATAATTAATTGTACTTATTATAGTTTGTGTTGTAATTATCTTTTTTAGGTAAATCTGATATTATATTATAGAAGACAATTCTCGTCTATTTTCAAATTTCTTTTTACTTAACTTTTGTAACTTAAAATTACAGTGTCCTTTTTAAAATATTGTAATTATTTTCTTAAAATAAAAATAAAATAAAAATAAATATATTAATAAAACTTTAAAATAAAAAAGCACAAAACTAAATTTAAACGGGACAAAAACTAAAATATAAGTGAGGTAATCTGCAAATATTTCATCATACCCCAAATTATATCCCTACATAGATAATGATAAAAGTTGCCATATAGAAAATGGGTATTATTAATCTTTTTTGTATATACAATATTGCAATTTAAAAATAATCATTTAATAGAAAGAATTGGGGAAATAAAGCACAACTTAAGTTAATTCTCTTTGAACTATAATATAGAGTGTTTGAAGGTTTAAAGAGTAAATAAATATGAAGGAGCAATAAGAAGTGAAATTATGAAGTTTGGTAGCCGTCATTCGTCGCACCACACAAAATACATACTCTTCTCTTGTGTGAAAAATTAAATACCAAAATTCTCTTTCTCTCCCTTTCTCTCTCTCTCTCCCTCCCTGCATTTACACCTCACCACCATTAAATGCCATTGCACCCTCTCAATGCGCTCTGCAATAACTCTTCGCTGCCACAATTTTCTCCATCTGTTCCCTCTTTCTCCTTCCTCCATTGATTCTTCATCTTCTCCTCTTCCTCCTCCATCGTCCTTTTCCTCTTCTCCTCTTTATCTTAACACCCTTCACCTACTCCTTACCATAAAAGCTCAAACCAAAACCGTCCGATATACCTCCTTTTCCATACCCACTACTGGTTCACCGGTAACAACACTTACCATCACAAATCAAAACAAAACTCTTAATTTGAGAAAAAGCTGCTGGTTTAGCAGCTTGTTATAGTGGTTTTACTCATTTCCTTCTTTTCATTTCTCTTATGTTTTTGTTCTTTTAACCGCAGGTCATGAAGGCCAACATATAGTTGGATTCCCCGTCTCAGTATATCATATATCAGAACGTAAGAAACCAGATATTCTTGCTTGGTTTCTACATATTAAGAGAGAGTACTGAGGAAACTGCATATATGCAATAGGGTTTTCTAGGGTTGTGAAATATGCCAGCCGGACTAATGATTCCGGCTACAGACATGTCGTCGTCAACCATGATCAACGGGAATGGGTTCGGATCTTCTTCAGCACTCACCCTTGGCCAGGTCTGCTAAATCTATAATCTGTTTTTAACACTTTTTGGTTCTAAATCTGTTCTTCTCCTTCTTCTGTTAAGGAACTCAAACAGACTCCTTACAGAAAGATCCTTCTCGATATTTGAGAAAACGCGTTTAAACTCATAAATCCGTTCATCTCCACGGATTTTTTTTCATTTTCTTTTTATCTTTTAAAATGGGTTTTTCCATAGAAAAATAAAAAATAAAAAAAAATTTAAAATTATTGATGTTCTTTTATACTTAAAACATAGAAAAATACAGCCATATATGTGTCTGCTTTATTTTGAGTGGAAATTTCCATTCTCTTGCTAGATTGAAAAAATATAAGCTTGGGAATCTCTTAAAGATCTGTGGCTATATATATGTTCCAGCAGCCTAACAACATGATGGAAGGTCATCTTTCCGAGAGCGAAATGGCTCGGTTGAGGGAAGATGAATTTGACAGCATTACCAAATCTGGCAGTGAAAACCAGGAGGGCGGTGCCTCCGGGGAGGATCAAGAGCCCCGCCCCAAAAAGAAACGCTACCACCGCCACACCCAGCACCAGATCCAAGAAATGGAAGCGTAAGCTACCTTATTTGCTCGCTCTTTTTGTCTCTTAGCAAATTCAAACCATTTTTTCTGAGAAAATAAAATCAATTCTCTTCTAGTTTCTTCAAAGAGTGTCCGCATCCTGACGACAAGCAAAGGAAAGAGCTCAGCCGGGAATTAGGGTTGGAACCTCTGCAAGTCAAATTCTGGTTCCAAAACAAGCGGACACAGATGAAGGTAACAAACCCTTTAATTTTCTCCTTAATTTAAGGCCTACGCAGAATATCCGTCGATCTTCAACGGAAAGTATAACTTTTTGTTTTTTTTTTTTCTTTCTTGCAGAACCAGCATGAGCGGCAAGAGAACTCGCAGCTTCGTGCGGAGAATGAAAAGCTGCGGGCGGATAATATGAGGTACAGGGAAGCTCTTAACAATGCTTCCTGTCCGAATTGTGGTGGTCCGACTGCCATTGGAGAGATGTCTTTTGATGAACATCATTTAAGACTCGAAAATGCTAGACTTAGAGAAGAGGTAAAGAGGTAGCAAACAGTTAACCGGTGCATTTTCAAATTGGAGAGTTTTAACTAAAAATTTGTTATGTCTTTTGTGACAGATTGATCGTATATCAACAATAGCTGCGAAGTATGTTGGCAAGCCGGTTATGAATTACCCTCTGCTTTCTTCTCCAGTGGCACCGCGTCCAATTGAACTTGGAGTGAGCAGTTTTGGTGGCCAACAAGGCATTACAGGAGGGGAGATGTATGGCGCTGGAGATCTTCTAAGGTCTATAAGTGGACCAACGGAAGCTGACAAGCCGATGATAATCGAACTTGCCGTGGCCGCCATGGAGGAGCTGGTGAGAATGGCTCAGATGGGTGAGCCCTTATGGATGACTAGTCTTGATGGCTCAACGTCCATGCTCAATGAGGACGAGTACATCAGGACTTTTCCTAGAGGAATTGGGCCAAAACCTAGTGGATTCAAATGTGAAGCTTCAAGAGAAACTGCAGTTGTAATCATGAACCACATTAACCTTGTGGAAATTCTCATGGACGTGGTAAGTTTACTGTTCTTCCAGCCTTCTTCCGGGATTCTAGTCCTAATAATGATTTTTTTTTCTTGTTTGTGTGTTTGTGTGTGTTCTTATGTGCGATTCAGAATCAATGGTCTACTGTTTTCACCGGGATTGTTTCAAGAGCTATGACTTTAGAAGTGCTATCAACAGGAGTTGCAGGGAATTACAATGGAGCATTACAAGTGGTAATGTTGAATTAATTAAATTCATTTCTCTCTTGGATCAATTCTATTAAATTGCAATTAATTTGTAAGGTCATAATGGATTTATTTTTCCACAATGTTTTTTCCAGATGACAGCTGAACTTCAAGTCCCATCACCGCTTGTTCCAACTCGTGAGAGTTACTTTGTGAGATATTGCAAACAGCATTCAGATGGAACTTGGGCAGTGGTTGATGTTTCCTTAGACAATTTACGCCCTAGTCCCACTATTAGGAGCCGGAGAAGGCCATCTGGATGTTTGATTCAAGAAATGCCCAATGGATACTCTAAGGTGTATATCGATCAATATATTAGAGAAAAATATACCTAATAAACCTTGATTTCACGGCCATCAAAAAAGAAGCCATTGATTTCAAATTTACAGGCATTGGCCGTTATTTTTTTTCTGATTAAATGCTTTGATTTTTTTTTTTTTTTTTTCTTATGCTAAGGTTACATGGGTTGAGCATGTAGAAGTGGATGATAGAGGCGTTCACAATCTTTACAAGCAGCTGGTTAGTTCTGGCCATGCTTTTGGAGCTAAACGTTGGGTTGCTACCTTAGATAGACAGTGCGAGAGGCTTGCAAGTGTCATGGCAACCAACATTCCTACCGGTGATATTGGTGGTAATTATTTTGTTCATTGGTTCTTTTAGATTTCATGGCAAAAATGTTATATGTTCTTTGGAATAAAATTAAAGTTATTAACTTAATTGGGCGGGAACGTTTCTGGGATTTCTTATCAGTCATAACAAATCAAGATGGGAGAAAGAGTATGCTGAAGCTGGCAGAACGAATGGTGATAAGTTTCTGCGCTGGAGTAAGTGCCTCTACAGCACATACATGGACTACCTTGTCAGGAACTGGTGCTGATGATGTAAGGGTCATGACTAGAAAGAGCGTGGATGATCCAGGCAGACCTCCTGGCATTGTGCTAAGTGCTGCGACTTCCTTTTGGCTTCCTGTTTCACCTAAGAGGGTTTTTGATTTCCTCCGCGATGAGAATTCCCGAAGTGAGGTATCAAAAATTTTGAAATCCTACTGCCTATCTTATGATTGATGAAATAAATGAAGGTTTAATGATTTTTCTTTTTTTTTTTTTCATTATGGCAATTAGAGATACATATCATTTTTCTTATCTTATGCATTCATATTTGGGAATTGGCAGTGTCTATATATGGTAATTCATTTCCAGCAAATTAAAATGGTATTGATATCCAATTTAAGTAGGAAATTTACATTTCAGGGAAGAAATCATGACTATGAAAAACATTGGCTAGAATATAAGAAAACTATTGACTTTTTTTTTTTTATAATAACTTTTTTTTTTCTTAATACACATGTTTTATTTTTCCCACAACATCATATGTGAGGTAAGTAATTAAGCATGTAGCTATTGAGTCATTATTAGTACAAGTGACTGAGTCTGTATTTGAATTAATCGCACTTAATGCAATGCTTGCGTGGCTAAATCTGGCAAATTCTGTCATGAAATGCTGTAAAATTAAGTGAGAATAAGGGACACTCTTATTAGTTTAGTCTTGTATTCTTAAGAATATACATAACTCAAAAATGGAAATTTTATTTATGTAATTTGATACCTGTTAGCTACTTGTATTGGGTATTCTCACTTTTGTTCATGCAAACAAGATGTCAATTTTGGCCAAAAATATAAAACTATATTGACTGTTAAAACTATATTGCAGTGGGATATTCTTTCTAATGGTGGAGTTGTACAAGAAATGGCTCACATAGCCAATGGTCGCGACACAGGCAATTGTGTTTCTCTTCTTCGTGTAAATGTAAGTATTTCAAAGCAATAGTTCTTTATGAATTTATCCATTTCACATTACCATTTCAGTAGTTTATGTGCTTTTTATATAATCAACAGAGTGCAAATTCAAGCCAGAGCAACATGCTGATCCTTCAAGAGAGTTGCACAGACCCAACAGCCTCATTTGTGATATATGCTCCCGTTGACATTGTTGCAATGAACGTTGTACTAAATGGAGGTGACCCTGACTATGTGGCCCTCCTCCCCTCCGGCTTTGCTATTCTCCCAGATGGAACCAATGCAGCACTTGCTGCTGGCATAGGTGATACTGCTTCCTCTGGTGGATCCCTTCTAACCGTTGCATTTCAGATTTTGGTTGACTCGGCGCCGACTGCAAAACTCTCTCTTGGATCTGTAGCCACTGTTAACAATTTAATAGCATGCACGGTTGAAAGGATTAAGGCTTCTCTTTCGTGTGAAAATACATGTACTCCGCAACTTTAATTTGTAGCTAGGTACGTGTATACATCTCATGAATTTTGCGTCTTGTGCATGTTCATCATCACCTACACAGTATATATGGAACTTAATTGAGTTTCGGTTTTTGCAGCAAGATTAGTGAAGCTAAGGCGGTGATGAAGAATTTTGGAGTATAAAAGAAGAAAATGGGGGAGAAGTCAAGAGCGCACCTTGCAAGATGCTCTTGAGCATTTCACAAGAGTGCAAGAGTTAGGGTTCGGGCATTGACTTCCCCAAAACAGAAGCAAAGCAAAGATGATGTAATAGAGAGACCTTATTAATTTCTAAATAGGGTACTTTTTCTGCAGGTTTAACCTCCTTAACTACTTTAATTAAGGTTAATTAGGGATTTGTCAATTGTGGAGTTGATTTTAGTGCCTTGTTTGTGTCTTTTCAAACATTTTGTGCAAGCTCACAAGATGTAGTTGCAATGCCTAAGACACTGATTTCTTTTCTGTAGCCGTTTTTAGAATTTTGCTTTTGTTTTCGTTCATTAATTTTCCGTTTTTCCTTTTCTACAGCTAGTCCTATGCCCTACCCTATAGATACTTTGATTTTATTGGTATGGATATTAATTGAGCATTATCCCAACCAAGTGCCGTGCCACTGAGGTTCCGGTCAATTTCATGAAGCATAGTTAAGGCCACACTGGAAAGTGTTAGCCACGTAAATATTGTGATTTTTTTTTATAAATAGTTATGCATTTGAACATATTAGTTTATGGGTTTTTTTTAATCTATTAAGTAGTAAATTAAAAATTAATAATATATTATTTATCAATTAATAATTGCAATTATTTATTGTTTCCAACAGTTAAATTAAACTAAATTACTAGTTTAATTAAAGACTATATAAAAAATTGTATGATCTTAAGACTTTTAAGTATGACTATAACTTTGGCCAATTTCATGATAAAAAGAACTAGCGGTGAGCATTTGATATAAATACACCCATCAATTGGAAGTATTTTATTTGTTTGGTAAGTGCTATACTCTCAAACTCAATAAAAATTAGGTGAGTAATAGATAAAAAAAGATATATGTAATATCAACTAACTAATAATTATAGAGGTTTAGAATTTTTTATTTGACTTGTTTACTTATTTGTTTAACGAATCTATTATCTAAACTAATACAACCAAAATTTTAGCTATACATGTATAAATTAAACTTAATATCCATATAATATCAAAAAATTTTATAAAAATAAAAATTTAAAATATAAAAATTACAAATAAAAGTTAAATGAGAAACCCTAACCGTAATTAAATAGCCAAACACACGCAGCAACTTATTCAAACCTTGAAGGAGTTTTTTTAGATACATAGAAAAGACAATAAAAGGAAAAAGGAAAGAAAGAAGTTTTTTTTTTCTTTTAAACTGAAGCTAAAGGTAAGAAAGAAGTTTGGAGATATGGTATCACTAGCTATCTTTAAAATATCATAATATATACCTCTATGTTATAATAAAACTAAATCTAAACTCGATCTCTTAAGAGCAGATGTAAGAGAACTATTTTGTTACTCATCTAAATGAACTTCGTAAGCCTCTCTTCTATAGGAAACTGATGGACTCGTTCAACAAATGTGTCCGAATAAACACACCCTTTGGATTACATCCGATGCCTTTTCAACCATGAACAAAAGCACTTAAAAATCAAACTTTAAACAATATCTATTTATTTGTCCGGACATACCCTTTTGTCCAATTATGAGCAATCTAATAGCTTTGATCATACTGATCTTGCCATTTAATAATCGCATCGTCGACTAAATAACAATATGAAACAGACGCCTGAGAGGAGAAGGGAAAGAGAAATGGAGAGGAAAGAGAAAGTTGATTATGGATCAAGAAGAAGAAGGTGAGGCAGTTTTGTATTGTTGATTAGTACAATAAATTTTTATTAATTATTAATTGACAATATAATTTAATTTACGAAAATACTAGGCTAGGAGTGGGCCAAAATACCTACAATCGAAAAAAATTTGAAAACTGATGAAATCGTAATCTGGGTAGGGTTTAACTAGGTTTTGAATTTATTTGATTAAAAACTAAATCAAGTTAATTTTAAATGGATTGAGTTTCTGTTATTGTCTAAAAATAAAAATAAAAAACCAATGATTAAGGTTAGTATAATCAAAAAATCTGAAAAGAAAACATTTTATATAAAA